AGACACAAGCTTGTTGCCATCCGCATCGACTTCATCACCGAACCTGTTACGGAAGGGCTGGAAGGCGAAGAATTTGTTCATGAGACTGGTATCGTATCCCTCCATCACAACGCAAAGCGAAATGACGAAAGAAAAGACGATTGCCTTCCACCAGAACCTCAAGGACTGTCGGACGGACATGTTGTGCTCATTGTTGATAGCTGCGTTGGTGTCGTCTCCGGTGTTGTGGCCTTGTGTCGAGGTGACCCTTTCGGCGGCCACATGGCCAGTAGTCTTCTCTACTGAAGCCATATCGAATTGAGTCCAGAGTATGCCCGGTATCAAAGATGGGTCTTCGGTGTTGATGGGTTGAGAAGATGCAGGTCAACCACAGGTATGGATCTGCGGTCTATATAGTCCCCAGCGCTGTGGTATGCATGCCTGACAGACGAACCCATTACAGGAGTCAAATGGCTAGCCCGAGAGCTTGGGAAGCTAAGCCCCGGTAATGACCGAAATGGGGCAAGACCGCGGTGAGTTGCGGGGAAAGACATTCAGGACAAGAGTGCCCATGGGGAGACGAGGCGTCAAGTGCGCAAATGAAGCCAATCAGAACCCCGACGAGGTTTGCCCGGCCACCAGATCGCGAGAGAATTTCAAGAAAGTTTTCCTCGAGGTTTCCGCCGCTATCGTCACTTGGCGGTCCCGTCCCGACTCTAGTGTTGCAAAGAAAGCCAGGGCCCAGAAGAAGGACTCGCAGCAACCCTGGAAGGAGTCCTTTTCTTCTCATTATGCGCTATAACATAACATGTGAGCTCTCATAAGGCGATTGAAGCAACGTAATGCTCTGAGTAGGACAAACTTCTCGATCAAATCTACTATAGTGTTGTTGTTGTTTTGTGAGAACTGCCCGCTGTCAGCCCGAGCGTGTTTCCAACTTCCGATGCCACGCTAGCCGAGGCAATGTCCACCGTGTCTGCACGAGCCAAGCAGACCCGCTTTCTGACCCCGACCTGAGCTTTCCACATGAGTTTTCCACGTTCCATTCACGTTCCATCCACTTCATCCCCAGGTTCTTGCGCAAGTCCGACAAGCTATGCGCAAACCATCCGCCTGCCAAGCGTGCCGGTAAGCATCTTGCACGTTGTCAGTGGAGGCGAGCGACCGCTAATTCGGTTGGAAGTACCCGACGCCGGAAATGCATCTACCCAACAGGCGGGCTCGCAACGGCATGCGAGTATTGCTTGTCACATGGCCTGCAGTGTCTCCAAGGCCCGCCAGAAGGAGGCTACTATGCCAAACGCCGGGCTAGACTTCAAGAACTGAGTCGGGTACATCGCGCTCTCCCAGACCAAGCGGAAGCACTGCCAAATCAAGGTCATGACGATCTGCCACCGACTGCTTTGAGGCAGGCGCTGGTGGAGCTATACTTCGACTACATTCACGACCAGTTTCATTCCATGTATCACAAGGCGTCGTTCATGGACGATGTCGCAAACAACCGAGTACCGTCTATCGTACTTTTCGCGATATGTGCGCTGGCTGCCAGGTTCTCTACCGACAGCTTCTTCGACGAAACTGATCCGAGAGAAAGAGGCGAGGTCTACCGCAAGGCAAGCGAGAGGTTGTTCAACATGCGCGACCTCACACCTACCACAATTCAAGCATGCGTTTTGCTGGGAGCATACGCTGCCGCGGGTGGTGAGACTGATGTCGAAAACATGTACTACAGCATGGGTGGACGACTTTGTCTGGCCCTCGATCTACCGAATCGACCCGTCACAAGTCTGGTAGAGCGCGAAGTCAACATCAGAACTTGGTGGACACTGTGCATGGTAGACGTTTGGTCATCTACTGCGGTGAGACTACCGCGAATCATGCCGTTTGACACTGCTGTGCCTCTTCCAATTGATGAGATACCGTTCTCTATGATGAATGATGGGGCTATCAGCGACCAAACGCATGGCATCACTTCACCTCTTCTCGCGGAGATGATCAAGCTCAATCGGATTCTGGCGAGGATCATCGACTTCAATCGACTGTGTGTTTCAGAACACCTTGAAGGGCTACCGCTTGAGAAAGGGATACGCGAACTATCCCGCGATCTCGACATCTGGTTGGAGGAAGTCCCCCACCATATGCGTGACACGCCAGCAAACCTGACAGCCTTCGCATCGCGTGGTCTTGGGCGTATGTTTGTAGCTGTGTATCTCGGCTACTACCACTACGGACTGCTCCTGAACTATCAGTTCTTGTCATCTTCAATCGAAGCATCGCCCGACTCCGGACGATATGCTGATGCCTGCAAGCAACATGCCGCCCGACTTTGCGCCCTCGTCTACCGCTCACAGTCCACGCCTGGGAGCGAAGTCTTGTATCCTGCAGTTTCGCATATCCTTGTCGTTGCTTCCACCGTTCAAATCCATACCTTGCTCTTTTCCGGTGACGAAAGCCAGATACGCATCTCAAAGACCAGATTGGAACGCAACTTCGAGATACTCCTGCGGCTGAAGACCTATTGGCCGAGTGTAGACGGTGCAATGAGTCGTCTTCGGGCGTTCCACCAGACCTGTCTCCGAAGCAAAGAGACCAGCTTTGTGCTTGATCGGTGGCTGTTGCGCTTCCTGGTCCAATTTGCCCCTCATATGGAGCTCGAGCCAAGGGATAACGACCCCGAGTACGAAGCGTTGCTCGCATTGAGCAGGCAATCCCCATTGTCGTGCTACTCAGGCCTGTCCATGTGATCATGCGCGACCGAGATTCTAAGCAGCACGCTGGGAATCCTGGAGAACGAGGACGGCGACGAAGTGGTTCATTACGGCTCAAGCTGGTGGAGCCGAAATTAGCGTCGCGAAACTTACGAGCTTTCCTGGAGTGTGGAGCCCCAAGAGAGCCAGGGCTTGGCGACAGGGTCCGTCGCTCACGTTTGCGGTCCACTCGAAGTAGTACACACGTGTAAAGCTGTTTAAGAGTCTGAATTGTGCTTCTTTGCTCGAAGCAAGAATCATCTTCGGACTCCAGTCATGGCTTTATCTCGCAGCACCATTCTCGTGGTCACGACGCTGCTGGGCAGCGCGACAGCGATCAACAATGGCCTCGCTACTACCCCACCAATGGGCTGGGTGAGACATTCGTATCCTACTCTTTAGTTGTCATTAACAGAATCAGAACAACTGGAACGCTTTTGGATGCGATGTCTCCGAAGACTTACTTCTTACAACGTCCGCACAGATTGTGAGCTTAGGCTTGCGAGACTTGGGTTACAACTATGTCGTACTGGACGACTGTTGGCAGAACCCAAAGGGTCGAGACAAGAAGGGAAAGCTTCAACCAGCTCTCGACAAGTTTCCCAACGGATTGAAGTCCATCTCAGATCATCTCCACAGCCAAGACTTCAAGTTTGGCATGTACAGCAGCGCTGGTGAAATGACTTGTGCGAGATTTGGTAAGATAAATCAAATGAACATGCCTCTTGCATCAAACTGACTCAAAGTAGAGGGCTCGCTAGATCACGAGGTCGACGATGCAGAAAGCTTTGCAAGCTGGGGTATCGATATGTTGAAGTACGACAGCTGCTACCACATGGGTCGTGTCGGCACACCTTCGGTCTCATTCAACCGCTTCAAAGTCATGTCAGATGCTTTGAAATCAACAGGAAGGAACATTCTCCTCAATCTGTGCAACTGGGGAGAGGATCTTGTTCACACAGTAAGCATCACCTGATACCACACCCAAGGATGTTCAAACACTTATCATGAATAGTGGGGAATGAGTATCTCAAACAGCTGGCGCATCACCGGCGACATCTACGACTCTTTCTCTCGTCCTGATGATTTATGCGGATGCAACACCGTATCACCGGGCGACGTCAACTGCGTAGCACCCGGCACACATTGCTCCGTTCTTTTCATTCTCAACAAAGTCGCGCCCTTTGCCGATCGCAGTATTCCTGGTGGATGGAGCGATCTGGACATGCTCGAGGTCGGCCAAGGCGGTATGACTGACGAAGAGTACAAAGCACATTTCGCTCTCTGGGCCGCCATCAAGTCTCCGTTATTCCTCGGAAACGACCTGCGCAACATGCCAGCTTCCGCTCTCACCATCATCAATAATCCAGCCATTATTGCGCTGAGCCAGGATCCCCATGGACGTAGCGTAACGCGTGTTCGAAGGGATACGGAAGGTGTAGCGAAAGACGAGTGGGGTATGGGTGAGACGCACGTGTGGGCAGGTCATCTCCAGAACGGCGATGAAGTCGTGATCTTCCTCAACGCTGGTGGCGAAGACATGGAGATGAGCGTCTCCCTCGCTGAAATCTTCATCCCATACGGACCCGGTGGATCAGCCCCACACGTAAAGTACGACTGGGCTATCCACGACCTCTGGGCCCATCGCATGCCCGAAGCGACGGCGGAAGAGCTCCTCGCAGCGGCCTCGCACACGGAAAGAGAATCGATCCTGTCAAAAGCCAATTGGTACAACGCCACCGAGACCCCTTACGCCAAGGGTCTGGTTCAGGAGGACCCACGACTGTTTGGCGAGAAGATCGGCGTTGTTGAGGCTGGTGGTAGGCTCAAGGCAGACGTCAAGAGTCACGCTGCTCGCGTCTTCCGACTGAGACGAATCGCCCCAGAGGACGATCAGTTCGAGGCGAAGAGTATTGCGAGAGAAGACGGTAACGAGAGGGATGAATTGTGATGATGAGTCGATTAGTAAGGTGGATTCGGTGGGACAAGAGATAGCCAACCTTGATGGAAAACAGAAACGGACTTAGGTGCCTAGAGTTGCGATACTTCTCATTCGCGATAAATCGTGTGAATTGTGGAAGGTGCGGTTGGGTCGTTATCTCCAGGTCCTCACAGTACCATGGAATAGAGTGGGTAGGACCAGAGTGTGGACTTCTGGATTTTTCGGATATATGAGATCTCGCTCTTCCTCCCTCTTACACATTTTAACCGTTACACAGGCTATCTCTGTGTTCTTTATCACACAAGTCAATCAAATCTACACCAGACGCAGCCATGACCAAAAACGCAAAGGTCATATCCCCGGCTCAAGCCACATCCACAACCCAGACGACATCCTGGGAATGGTCAGCTCCATACTTCGTTAAGCGAGCGCAGGAAGTTCAGGCCAGATTAGATCTCCAACGGCAGACTATGGAGAACCTCCAGAACCAGCATAAGGATCTTCGGAATCAGAATAGGGATCTCCAGGACCAGAATAAAAACCAGAAGAAGGATCACGAACGCGAGTTGAACACATGTATCGGAACGTTTATTGTCGTTTTGCTCACCTTCGCCGCCTTCATGATATGTGGCTTTCTACCATCTTCTTCGCCCGAACATTGTTCATTTGCGCTAGAAGCGAAAGCTGTCCAGATGACGCCCACGCCTACTACGGTCACGGTCACGCTACCGGTAGCCACGCCTACTACAGTCACAGTCACGCTGCCGGTGGCAACCAACGCCGTGCCGACAATCAAGGCCGCACCAGCCTTCAGCCTGACCCCTACAGCTGATCAAGTAAGCTTCGGTCTTCGATCATACATCTATTATAAGCTCTTAACATGCTAACGCCTCAATAGGTATGGACTGGTCTGACACACGGACAAATATTGTCCATCATCCTCGAAAACAATAAGATCCAAGCTCGATACAACGAAAACTACAGGGCCTGGAGCAAGGAAGAAGACCGGAGGTTCTGGTCCTCATATAGTTCGAAATATTCGTTAACACCAACTCCAACACCTGCTCGATTCAGCGAAAACTATAGGGCCTGGAACAAAAAGGAAAGTGATGGGTGGTGGGAACAGTGGAATGCCCAGGAGGCCCAGGAGGCCCAGAGAAAATCAAAGGATCAAAAGTTCTGGTCTTCGTGGAGTTCGCAATATGCGACAACACCAACTCCGACGCCTGCTCGTTAGGCTACCGCGCAGGTGCTCTTTGAAGGCCAGTGCAAGCATACCAGATTGCTTTTCTACAATCGCTTGGTGGTCATATCTCTGAGCCAATTTTGAAACCTCGTCATGATTGGGTTTCGTGTCGTATGCGACGTCTTTGAACAACTAGCCAGGCGCCTACAAAGAAGGCAGCGCTTCGCGAATTGTATTTCATACTCTAGATATCAGTATACGTTATCTTTCTCTCTCTCGACTTGCGAAACTGCAGCTCTGCGAATCCTCCGCGGGTAGGCCCTACTACATCTTCCAGCTCATTTCTCCAGCATAGTATGCTCCAGAGTCTCTCCTAAGCTTGTCCAGCTTGCAAGTCACCTCAACTCGTATTCTACACGAGGCTAGGTTCTATCGGCGACACCGAACTGACAATATTATGACTTCTTCCGGAAGAGCCGATTCACTAAAGTATCTGATGTTATATCGCGCTCCGGAGGATACTATATATTGTCCGCCTTGTGTACCCTCCCTCCTCTTCTCTTCTCTCCTCTCAGTGTCGTGATATCTACATCCACCGACAATTAATCGATCATCTTTTACTTCTTACCATATACGTCTACCATATATCAACATACGCATCTATATCCATCATCTCAATCTCCATCATGAACAACCTCCCCTCTTCCCCAGCATACTACCTTGGGCCGATCAGCTGCCCCGTTCTCCCAGCTCACCGCATGGATGGCCTAAAAGAGCGCGAGCCATCAAGGGCAGGAGATCTGTACACAGCAGAGATCGGTCAGACAGTCAACACCATCAACCATCAGAGAAACGCGGTCAAGTTGATCATGGCGAGATGGTCCACCGTAGACCCAGTTCACTACCCAACTATTCTGGGCGTGAGCCAAAACGACAGTAAGAGTGAGGACGTGAAGGCTGTAGTCAGCATGGTAAACACCATGCAGACCAGCTGGATCGGCCAGTCCTCTTGGGTCCAAGGCTACATCAAGGGAGAGACTAGTTAGCACGATCTCCAAGCCCATATCAACAATCTCAACCGATTTCGACTCCTGCTCAAGGTACCACAGCAAAATGAGACTCCCTTGCAGAGGACCGCCCGCCGAGCTTTGCAACGCGCATACAAGAAGGCAGTTAGGATTCATATCGCGCACAGCTAGACAGGTGACCTGCAAGCCTACATCAATAACCTCAGTCGTATGAGTGCGACCTTGGAATGACTGAGCTCGGTGCCTACAATACGGTTAGATCTTAGCGAATGAGATTTCTCAAGAGAGGCTGAAGGCTACAAGCATCCGCTTGGAGACTAACTATATAACATCGAAGACCCAGAGGAATACAATGCGGTTGGTGAGTAACAGAGCGATATTCCAGAGTGGACTCTGGCTACTACAAAGCCACCTACGTTGTTTAGAGCTCGCGACAGACAAATGCCGGGAGGCTCGAGCATACGATCAAGAAGGTTGTCGACACTGTTAATACTATACCGACACACAAGATGTCAGACCTGAACGAGCGAGACCCTGCGAGAGCAGCCAACGAATGGCAGAATCTCTAAGGAAATCAGCCCAACAACAACAAGGTTCAGCGGAACATGATGAAGATGATTATGGCTAGGTGGTCCCAATTCGATCCAATTTATTATAGCACAATTCTCGGAGGCGGGCAGGCGAATGCCGGACAACTCGAGAGTGTCATCAAGAAGTCCGTAGACACCATCACCACCAACTGGATTGGAACTCCCTCGTGGCTTCAAGCTTTTGTCGAGGGCGAAACATGCTAGTCGGATTACCAAGTCATCATTAACAACCTCCATCGCATGTCAAAGCTCTTGAAGCTGATCCCGGAGGGCGAGACGCCTAAGAATCGCGCATTACGCCTCACGCGCCGCGAAGCATACAAGAAAGCTCTGCGCGCCCATTAAGAACACGTCCGTCTGGGGGTAGAGGCGGAAATTCAGACAGCAGAAGATGCGATAGAAGACTTGTCCACAAAGGACGGCGTAACCCAAGTTGAGCTTCAGGGCGCTCGGGACGAAGTCGATTTCCTCCGTGGTCAGCGAGATGGTATTGCAGCCACGACCTGGCGGACATCTCGATCTGGTTCAGATAGCCAGGGAGCGGCGCCCCCCGTCGCTCGCCGCGCCCATCGCCGCCGAGCGTATAAGAAAGCGGTCCGAACTCACATGGGCACAACCACTCAGAAGCGGCACCGGAGCTCGGCGGCGCCGAACAAGCCCTGAACACCGGAAATCGGAAGTTGGGGACACTGCAGACAGCCTTGGAGAGCTTCAAGCCATCCGAGACCAGATTGAGAGTCTTCAAGAGTACCAAGGCGGTCCAACCGCTACCAACGACGGCCCATTCCGTAACTTCGCAGAAGTGCCCGCAGCTGAACCCTACTACGCACAAATGGCAAGCAAGGACAAATGTGCTTTCTGGGAAGCTAGATAGAACCAGGACGTATTCGTGTCGTTTCTCTGGGAGTTCTAAGATGTGATGCACTACAAGTAAGTCCGTGAACTGCAATTTTCGAGCACAAACTAACTTCATCATAGGCGGAACTGGGGCGATGTCTTGCTGCGAACAATGTTCCGCAAGAAATTCTCTTGGCTGGCAGACGTTGTGTCCCAGTATATTCTGGAGCCTCTCAAGGCCACGGCAGTTTGTTAGAGCTCGGCGACTAGGTTTCTCGTGCGAAGCTCGCTTGACTTGCGTAGAAATGACTAACACCTTTAGTGGTGAGACAGCCTTGAAGTAACGCAGTCAGAGGCCGATGTGTCACTAACTAAGTCTCCAGGCGGCAAGTACAGGCAAGCAGGGAGCCGACAAAGGCTTAGTGACACCGCATATCTTCTGTCTTATCGAACCGTGAGGACGATGTCGCTCTTAAGCTCTCTTAAAAAATCCAGTACAAGCAAGTGCGCAGCCGACTACGACTTAGTGCCAATCTCTTACTTTTGGCACCTTACATCCTGGAATCGACGTTGCTCTTACGGGAGAAATACAAGGTTCCTTCAATTCGTCAACTTATTCCGACTATAATATTGGTCAGGGCTTCAGTGTTCACTACTCTCAACATCACTCGACGCTCGCCCTATTTCCAAGCTCTTCACCATTCAGGACGAGCTCGCGGCAACATGAGGTAACCTTGACCGTCGTGGACGGGGTGAGGAGGCAAGGTACCAGAGGGCAATCGCCGTTCTTGTACTTCCTTGGCCGGAGATTACATCCATGCCCAAGGGTCTTCCACAAGCTTGCGATCTTCTCCAGAGTTCTTCAACTATCACGAAACCGCTTGTTGTACTTGCTTATAGCGACAAGATTAGTCAGGTTGCGTTACAATCATTCGCGGGCGCGCTGTATGCTTATGGCTCAGCGATGATATCTCAAACCACCCCGCTCAACGGCATTGTCGCCTACACGCACCCTCGTGAGGTTCCAACGCCAGTCGCATCTAGTCAAAGTCGTCTTCCGCCGCATTAGCTACTCGCCGTAGCTTGATTGGTCGGTTGCACTTCACAACACCCCTCGCGACAAAGGACTCGGGCCGGATCTACCAAATTACTTCCCAAACAAGCTCATGCTATCTGCCGCTATACAAGACTCGTCTTGCTGCGACTTGCACCCTCACCTCGGTGACCTGTCACTGTGCCACCGTGATCCAGCAGTGACGCCTTTGCTGCCTTCTTCTTGCTAGCGGCCTCCTCGACCCGCAACTTGGTTAGAGTGTGGCGGAACGCATCCTCTGTTAGATTTGCCATCTGGTGTCTCAGATGCTTGCTTACACTAGTATGGTGCCACGCCAACTTGACCTTCTTCTTCTTCTTCTTCTTCTTCTTTCGGGTTTTCATGACGTACGCCTCGATAGAGTTTGGCGACTCATACGTCCATACAGTGACTTCTGAGTTCTGCATGATCCTGTTCACTCGGGCGATCGCCTGCGCTTTAGCAGCACAAGACACATGCGACTTCGTTCGCGAATACGTACCGGCTGTGTTGAAGGAATCTCTCACTCAGGCGGCAGCCTGTGCCCCGGCGGCGGTGGTTTCTGGCTAGATGCGCCTGGTAGAGGGGCGGGACCTGTGCTGCCTGGATGAGTGTGAGGCCTCGGCCGCCGTCAGACGCCTCTGGTATACGTAATTGATCCTGGAGATGCTCATGAGAGTTCGGATGGCCGTTACAACTACAACGAGACTTCGCTTCGGTTAGACTCTCCATCTTTCTCCTCAACCGCTCACTCACCCTCTTCTGATCTAATGTCAAAACAGCCCTCTTCTTCCTCTCCCGTTCTTTCTCGACGTAGCGCTCAATTGAGTTGTGTGCATAAAACCTCCAGATAGTCACCTGACGGGTCTGACCGATCCGGTTGATCCTCGAGGCGGCCTGGGCATCAATGGCAGGGTTCCACCTTGGGGTCAGGATGAACATATTTGTAGCCTCTACCAGGGTCAAGCCCAAACCAAAGCACTGAATGGTCGCCAGCATGACCCTGACTTTGTCTTTGGGGTCGTTGAATCGCTCGCGCACAGCGTCCCTCTCCTTCAAGCTCATGTAGCCGTTGAACTCGAGGAATTCGATGCCCGTTGCTCTTAAGGCGTTGGACACAACGTCGAGAGTCTGGAGAAATTCATCAGTGATGATGATTTTCCCTTCGCTCTTGGACTCGTGCAGGGAGAGAATCTGCTCGATCAGCTTGTCAACCCGTGTGGAGTGCCAGTCCTTCTCTGTCTCCTTCAGCAGTTGCTTGCGGGACTCCTTCGCGGTCATGTCGATGTAAGCCTCCTCTTTGGTAAGGCTCTCCCACTCCTCCAAGTCGAGACCCAGACCACTATAGTCTTGGGCTCCCTGGTCTCCATACATGAGCTCACCGCATCTTGGGTGGACAGTCTTCATCCTTGCCTTTAGGATCTTCGGCAGAGTACGCTCTCTCTTCATCTTTTCTGAGGCTTTACCTCTCGCACCCTCCTTCCTATCCCACAGTTGCTTGGTGTCCTTCTGATGAACAGACTCTTCGGGGGAGAGTGTCACCAGGGTATGGTTTTTGATAGCTCGCGAGAACCCGACCAACTGCTTCCCATCGAAGGTGTCGTCGATCCTCAGAGGGAAGACGCAAGCCCTCAGACTAGTCGAGAGAATCGCGTTGCGTTCTCCCTTCAACGTGCGTGCCTTGGACTTCTTCGGCCTCTTCGACACGAAGTATTCGTTGAATACCTTCCGATCGTTCCATGGCTTAATGTCCAGCCACTTCAACAAGGTCTGGACTTCGTCGTAGTCGTTTTCCAGGGGCGTTCCGGTCAGACCCAAGCGCTTTGGCGTCTTGAGTGCGCACATCGCTTGCGAGGTCTGCAAGCGTGACCGGCTCGCCTTGCTGATCTGATCAGCAATGACTGCCGCGTATCCCAAGACCATCGATCCACTACCTCCGGCACCGCACTACCACCTCCTTCCAGTAAAATGTCCGGTCGCACCCAACCGCAAAATGGACGACCTCAATGAACGTCAGGCTCTGAGAGCATCAGTAGAGTGGCAGACCCTCCAATCTGAGGGGCCATACGATCACGCATCCAGAAGCCGGAAGGACAGATTCTGCTGTCACACTTCGCACTGTCCGACCAAGCGCCATCGAGAAGACTACATGCAGGGCTGACATGTATCACTGCGTCAGCGCAAGGGACCGCGGAGACAACGTTGTTTCTACACAGGGAGGATATAAATTACTCGCGCTATGCTAGAAACGATTGTGTTGTATCTTGTCGCTGTTGGTGGGATTGCAGGCGCTCTTGCGAGACGGCTTGTGGGTGGGTATGTAGAGGCGTGAACACGGTTTTGTACGATGTTGGTGGGAGATGACATGTCTGTGTGGTGCGCGCGTATTGCTCTATGAGAGCGCTCCGAGGAAAGAACGCGTCTGCTCAAGGCCGGTGTGGTAGATAGTTCGGATGCGCTGTATGTGGTATGTCTGCTTTACACTGCGGTAGTGGAAATCCATTACACTGGATCCCGCCTGGTCGTCACCACCTCGACTCATTGATAGTCTCAATCATACTCTTGAACTCCATCCTGTTCTCGGGGAAGTACCGGGGAATCCTCGTAGAGGAAGACGAAAAGACGTCGAGGCCTCCCCGCTTCGCTCTCGCGTCGCGCGGCGAGAGCGATAAAGTCCCCGTCGTCTCCTCGCAGACGCCTCGCCCTACCCCTGGAGGCTTGCCAGCTCCTTTCTGGCACTGTCCCACATGCTTGATGTAGCCCTCATTCTCTCCTGGTGTTCCTTTGGCATGAACAGGTCTGTGAACGACCTCTGAATTTCAGCCTCCACCTCGCCAGCTCCATCTGCACCCCCGTCGCCGGCTGCACCTCCATCGACCTCGCTCGCTACACTCTCTTCAACCTTACTCTCCTCATCTTCATCACCATAAAGATATTTTTTCTAGAGTCGCAGCTCCTCTGCTCGTCTAACTCCCTCCATCTCTGCGGCAATTTCCTTGCGCGAATTGTCCTTCGCGAACCTCCACCAACCCCAGAAGCCGAAGACGCTCACCGTTGGTCCGAGGGTGCTCCTATACTCCGCTATGTCGCGTAGTAACTACTGGAAGACTACGTTTGGACTTACGTCGGATGGCGCATGTTTCAGGCCTTTGCGGCCACGAAGGTCCTTGCCGACCCGTTCGAGATACTTGCTGGAGAGTACCCCGCCCCTCATCCATGATCGGATGATGGATTCGACGTCGATGAGCTTGATTTTTTTGTTGGGCGAGCTCGTGACCTCACCGATCGTGGCGCTTCTCTTCTTGGTGACGCCAGCGACGTCCATCTTTCCGAATGCTTTGATCCATTCTTGTTTGATCGCTTCCTTTCTCTTCCCATTTGATATACCGGCCCAGTTGTCATCGAACACGATCTTTTCCCAAGAGAACAGCGTCTCGTGGAGGCCGCCGTAGACCTTGCCGTATCCGCCGTCACCAACGCCCTTGTTGGTCCGCTGCACCCAGCGCGTGGTCACCACTTCTTTGGCGGTGTTGGTGCCGACCATCATTAGTCGCTGATCTGGGGAGGTGACTGTCTGCAGGATTTTTCGGGAGTGATGTTTTGTGGATATTGATGAGTTTGAGGGTAATGATAGAAGAGTGAGGATGAGGTTGTAAGAAAGAGAAACGGCATGAGGCAGAGGTAGACCTGAAGAAGTCGTGGAATCGCGTTCACGTCGAGGTAGGGGAGGGGCTGTATCGAAGACTTCCCGCTGCCACATAAGCGTAACCTCCCTCCCTCCGCGTACCGACGTAGGCCTCCCGAGGCCGTCTCACTCCTAAACAAGCTTCACCATAGTGGACAGAAGAAAAGAAGTTGGTTGCTTGTAGCAAGGCTTGCTATTGGGCTGTGTGCTAATGTATAACCTTCCTATCTAACTGTAGACTCAATCCCCATCACTCTCACTCGTTTGTTTGATTCGACATGTAGTCTTGGATGATGATATTGACGGAGCCCATGACGTCGTTGTACACCAAGTCGCGGACTTCTTGAATGAGCTTATCGCGGGCTTCGTTCGTGACATCGTTGAACAGGTCGTTACGCACGTCCTCGATGAGTGCATCGCGCGCTGCGGTTGTGTTCAAGGTTTTCTATGAAGAAGACGTTAGCATAGTTCCTCTGCTTCACAACTGCGTGGCTAGACTCACCTAAGCCGATATAGTGTCGATAACAGTCTTAGCGAGGGGGGCTGCGTGCCAGATCATGAGGAGGAGGAATGTGCCCTTGACGATGAGAAAGACCAAAGCCCATGCAGTCTGCTTGTTGGCTTGCTGGTTTGCCTGGTCGTCATGGTCGATCTTGGCTTGGGCTTCTTGGCTGCGTTCGCCGTTGGCTGGGTTGACCCATCGTGGAGTGGATTCGAAAAGATTGACGATTTGGGCCCAGGTTGGCGTGACAGGAGGGGTGGGACCTGCCGGTGCCGATGGAGTGACTGGTGAGTTGGGCATTGTGCTCGTTTTGTCTTCGATCTCGTAGTTATGAATGTCTGTGAGAAATGTGGATGGCGGTGGTGAAGAGGAAACAAGAGGGAGAAGGGGAGTAGTCTCCTTTTTATCGAACATGATGGCTACGTCAGCGCCTGGTGCGTGCTTTGAGATAGGATACAAATGTGCAGGAGTGTGTGAGGTGCAAATCCAGAAGGGGGAGCGCGACGGGTTTTATAGAGCAAGTGCGAGGCCTTGCCGAGGGAGGAACTATGGTAGACACTGCCACACTACCCACCCAATCTGCGCACATTACTATAGCATAACCGCTTATTCGAAAGGATTGGGGTTAACTCTTGGTTCAGCCACACACAGGTAGGGCATATGATACTCTTTTACTTTCTGCAGAACTACAGCCAATGAGTATCGCCTGTGTTCTCGCTGCTCGATGAGCGTGACGTCACTATACAGCAGGAACAATGTCAGCTTCCCGCTGCCGTATGAGCGTGCCGTCCTTCCTTCTGCATACTAAAGTCGGCCTCCCGCTGCCGCATAAGTGCGACGTTCTTTCTTCCGCGCACTAACGTCGCCTTCCCGCTGCGTCGTGGTTTCCCACAACACGAGCCATCAACCCAACGTATCCAACTCCCTATGCAAGGCGCCCATAGCCAGAAGAAGTTTATCGTCAACGTCCCCCCGTCGGCCGTAAACAGCAAAGACTTCTGGCTCAGTCTCCATGTTGCTAAGATCAAAAGCTGCGTATTTGCTGTTGAGTTGCCTGAATAAGGATATCGGGAAGGTCTGGCTGAGCAATGACGTTCTAGACGTACTGAATGTGAAGGGGAACGACGCCGGGATGCGGGTAGAGGACGTCGACTTCCTCTTTCAAAGCTAACAATGCCTCAGCGCTTGAGGACAAGCCCCGCTTACCGCGTGCTTCTTCCGTCCTTCCTCAGCCACAGAGAGTGAGAAGGTGCCGTCCACCGCCTCTTGTACACCCGTGGACGGTATACGTGGTTCTCCCAACGCTGTATCCATGCGCTACAACGATCTGGACCTAACCACCGGTTCTCTGAGAGTGACATGCTGCCGACGAAGTCTTTAGCACAGTTAGTCTTGTTGACGGAGGTGTGGTACCAAGAAGCCTACTCTGCCTCTTCCCTTCTTGATAGACTCTATGAGCAGCCCGCGTAGGCTCCTTAGTGCCCTATTAGCTACCGTCACCCTAGTACCAACGTACCCGTAAGCCTCCGCCCCCAACTTTCCATATCTTGAACTATCATACGTGGGTGATGTCTCATCCTGCCCTACCTATCGGGTCAGCGACGATTACGGCTCGCAGTATTGTCAGCACCCCGCCAGTGCATGGAGTCGAAGTTCTCGTTGTGCAGACGTGATGTAGTAGTCATGGTCCATGTCATCTTGTCTGATATTACTCTCCATCATCCGTCACTTCTCCACTCAGATACTCCATATATGCCAAACACCGAAACTGTACAACCATCCAAACATCATCTCATAAATCCCATTACTCATGCCACTCCTTTCCCAAAAGCTCGCACAGCAAGCTCCTTCTTTCACTCTCCATCATCCCAACATACCACGCCATCTCAGCGCCGACCCCCCCTCTTCCCCTTCAGCGGACTCTCCCCCTTTCCACTTTTGCAAAACACGCAAACAAACACCCGCGGCAACCACTCCTCCTTCAACCCCACACAACCCATGTGCAACCACTTGAAGCAAGCCTCACACTGCACCATCAGCGTATCGGCATCATCGACCAACCCATCGCACACGCACCTCGTGCTATCATTACTCTTGCTACTGCATTCCGTCGAGGGCGTAGTCGTAGTCGTCGGCGAGCCGTTGAAGGAATTAGAGTAGGGGTCGTAGGCGCCGTGCGACAGGGCTTGGTGAAGTTGGTTGTGTGACGGAGGAGGATGGGACGTGGACATATCAGCACTCGCCTGCGCCCACCGTTGATTATGCGCGAGCAGTGTGTTTTGCGATGCGCGTTCTGAACTTGTCAGTCGAAGGCATGGGGACGAGGGAAGCGAGATGGTTATGCTAGCGTACCGATGCGTTGTTGACGGGCGCCGACGACTTTCTTCAAGGCGCCGAGTGCGTCGCCGGGGGAATCGGGCATGTGTGTGTCTTCGGGGTCTCGTTCGCGGAGGCTGGGGCGCTCCATGGCGCTGGAGCGACGGATGGTGTTTTCGGTGGCGGCAGCGGTGGAGCGGCGGGTGGATCGTAGCGTTTCGAAAGAGGTCTTGGAGAGGGCGTCGGATGCGAGTCGCGAGGCGGAGACGGAGCGCGCCATCTTGAAGGAGTTGGCTCGTTCGAGCCCGCCGCTGTCTGCTCGAGCGTGTTTCGTCGCTCGACGTTCGGGTTGGGGTATGACGAAGGATGGGTTGCGGCTGACGATTGGAGCTGGCTCGTCATCGTCCGACTCGCTGTCTTGCTCTTCGTACAGTCCGGGGTATTGGCGTCGAAGATCTTGCTGCGAAGTCTGTCGTCTATTCCTGGGGGTCTCATCATCTCCAGTAGGTATCGTCTCTGTGCGAGCCGTACCACTCTCGTCGATGATCAGCCTTGTCCGGGGTCTTCTAATCTCAGGTATCGCTTTCAGTGATCCGCCACTTTGACGCTTTAGTGGCGATGAGCGACGGGGAATCGTTGAGGCGTTAGCTGGGATTGTCATCCGAGGGTCCATTGCTCTGGTTATTCTCGGCCCACTATCGGTATTGCTTCGTTGCAGCACAGGTCTCGCGTTTTCCGCTGAACCCGACGACGAAGCTGTGTTGCTGCGTGAATGCTGACTCTTAGCCTTCTTCGCCATTGCCCTCTCATTCTCTGCATCCCGCAGTTGTGTCTCGTACGGTTGTCTTGACAAGTCGAGCATTGGCTGCTGCTGCGGCATGCTTCCAAAGGAACCGGTCATATCGGGATTGGAGAAGCTGAGCAGCATGTTGGGATCGACACCTGCAGCTGTATATACAAAAGAGCCATTTCTTGAGCCATGTCTCTGCTGGGAGGGTGTATTCGCAAACGACGCTGGCATGGGAGAAGCTTGGAAGCCCTGGAACGCTGGGGTTTGCATCATGTTAGCCGAAGGATGATTCATTGCTTGCCAGTTCATGTCGTGCTGGGGCCTATGCGGGGTTGGACCGAAGGGATCTACACCCAGCGGTACATCTAGATCCATTTGCATGCCATCGTTCGCTGGGTCCCAGAACAGCTTCGATTGAGGCATGGGTGGCGCAGACATTGGACCACCGCTGGGGAACTGCATCATATGTGGAGTGTACTGCAGATCAGCGAAGCCGAATGGTGTCTGGTCAAACAGAGCTCCTGAGGATTCCGGCAGCTGGCTAGGCGTCCTGTGCACCACTGTAGCTGGTGTTGCCACCCCATGTCCACTTTGTTGCACACTCCTCCTAGACGAAGCGTCCCTCGTCGGAGGTGGCGTTTGCATCTGCGAAAAGTCCATGCTGACAGGACGAGAGCCGAACTGTCCCTGTGATCCAACCTTCCTCAGCTGATTAGGGCCCGGCGAGGACGACAGCCTTCGGGACACGTCGACCGGCGGAAGAGGTAGGTTTTGCGGTGCGAAGTGGTTGACATGGAACTCTGGGTCTTCGGGGGTGCGGACGGGTTGGCTGTACGAGCTCGACGGCCGGCCTATGGGCGTCGAGAGTGTGAAGGAAGGAGTCTGCACCGGGGTGTGCTGCCCATTAGGTCGTGGGGTGGCCCAGGCGTCGAGGAAGTGCGAGTGGGGAAACGACTCGGTCTTTGGTGTTTTGAGAGTTCCGTCAGGGAACGTCAGCGACTTGGGAGTGGAGGAGGGACTTGGGAGATGCCAGTCCGTCGATCTAGCACGCGACCCACGTTAGCCTGGGGCACTTGCAGATGCGAGCCGAGACATAAGGAAAACCAAAAGTGAAATCTATCAACAGAACGGGAAGGAGCGGAAGAAGTCTAAAGAAAGGTATTCTTGGGATAGCATGGCAAGGGATGATGGCAACGAGCTCCAAGTGACAACCGTGCGGTGCTGCCTGACCTCTGCCTACCCTAGACCTGGATTGGGACATAGTCTGGTCCGACATGACATGAAGCCAAGGACGGCCGGAGGTGTGCAGATGAAGCTCGTTGCACCAGCCGAACGCTACACGTCTTCCGCCACATGGGAAGGTAGAAGAGAGCCGTACCCATATATGTGCTGATCCAAACTCATAGCAAGCCCAATGACACAAAGCCCTGACACAATGTCCTTCCTTCCCGACCATGTAGCAGTAATATAAGACGTCGAGGGTCGTCCACGAGTCGAGGGAGGCGTTCGGCGGGGTTGGGTCGACGGGTGGTGAAGACAAAGGCGCCCTGGATGGATTTCTTTGTTGACGGCGGGATGTTCTCGCAAACGCAGACAGCTAGACGGGAAGCTGTGAGACCTGTTGGGTAGTACACTTGAGCAGTAGCAGGGGATATGACAGCGTTGTGAGACGTCGTCGAGGCAGGTACCGAGCGAGGGCGTCAGCACAGCGTGGGCGTTGTGAAGAGGCACCCGTTGCTTGCTTTGGGTGACCAGGCACGGCGAAGGTTTCTCACGTACTAGGCAGCTGGTGGGGCCGGGGAAGCTGAAGCTGCAGTTGCAAAGGTAGTAGTTCGGCAAAGATGAAGAATTGATAGTCCCGATCGTGACCCGCAGCTGGCAGCAGCAGCAGCAAGCACTCCGCAACACACTGGCAGCACCGCCTGAGCAGGACCCGGAATGCGGCTTAGGCCAAGTCTCCTGAGGGCTAGGAGGCGTCTAGCTCAGGTACCGAGCCCGCAGGTGCATGGGCCGGCGAGGGCGATATAGCGAGGCTGTCATAATTGGGTGGGCGTGGCAGGGAGGAAGCATGGAAGAGAGGCTCTTTGTCGTCGCCGCAGCCAGCCAGCCAGCACGCACAGCCAGGCGAAGGAAGCCGACGCCTCACCAGCCATGCGCCTAGCAGCGAATGGGGCCAAACATAACGATGAGCTAAGTCGCGAACGGACACGGAACGAACGACACCATGGCTTGGGTGATGCGTGCCGTAAGGATGAGATGGGTAGAAATGACAGGTCAACGAGGTCAATGCCTAGATGCCGACGCTAATCCATTGATTCGGCCCACCAACCAGCGCAGCCCTTCTCCATCTACCTCCTGAGCAAGCGTAAATCATCTACCGGCTACCATCTACAACATACTAGCACCCGTCCTCGAGCTCCATTCCATCAATCATGCAGCCTAACTACAGTGTATGCACTCCTGAATCCTTCTACCCCCACAACCATTCCGGAATGTCTCCGCGCCGCATGCCGTTAAACAAGCAACCAAGAAAAAAAAGTGACTCGCGGTATGCCAGCTGGCGAAATGATTAATCTAGCCGTCATCATGCCAGAAAAACCCACGTACCTGGATAAAAGCTACCCGCTCCCGGCGAATCATGGTCCGAGGGACGCTCTAGATTTTTAGATTTTTAGATTTTGTCTGCGGCAGGCAGGGCGGCGGAGAAAGGGCCACGATAGCACTTGCCGGATTTGATGTAGTGGGGAGGAGGCATGCTTTTGGCCCCAAGTTGGATGCATGTTTGTGACCTGCATGAAGATTGGGAGTATTGTTTTAATTGTTCGTCTGCTTGATAGATGTAGAGCTACATTTCGATGCAAATGTTCCTGTGAAGTACAGCATGAATCGCGGGGTAGATGAGCATCCCACCCCTCGCCTCGTATCTCAACACCCGCTGCGATTAACATGTGAGCTGGACTTTTCGATAGCCGTTCACGCCAACACTAGCCGCCACCCGTTTCATGCAAGGTACCAATCGTTCATTTCATTCTTTCCAAACCGTTCGTCCCATTCATCCAGTCTAAATCCCCCCTTCAGCCCTAGAGCTCTCCCTCTCCGCCAATCCCTCGCATCAATTGATACGATTGGTGACAAACCCCCAAAACTAGTATAGCGTTCCCAAACTTGAAGGAACGATTGCGCGAACCATGCCCACCTGCTGTCTACAGTAAGCGCGCCGCCACCTCCACATCGTTCGCGAGGAGGGGAAGTTCAGGAGATAAGATAGTGGAGTTTACCGGTTCGTCCGGTGGTGCTAGGGTTATTGGTTAGGGGTTGTTGAGCGTTTGGCTGTCTCAGGTATGATCTAAGAGGGTGGATGGGGGACGGGTGAGGGGTCTAGGCGAGATGAGTGGCTTGGTGGTTTGGTGGGGTGTACGTCATAGTAAGGGATTCTATTTCGCGTTCTTTGATCTTCACACGTTATCACGGTGCCGTTCGCTGTTATATGATCCTGCATCTCGTGTGCTTATATGAGCATGACCCATTGTCCAGAATGCCCATTAGAGCAGAGAAGAACGAGGGTAAGTTTGAAGGAATACATTCCACGAAAACTATATACACGTCGAAAGAAAAGCACCCTCCAACCCACTCCCCTGCATTACCTAAGAAAAACCCCTCCGACTAAACTCATCAAACGTCTCTCGCTGGTACGAAAGATCCGATACAGCTGACATGCTGTCTCCATTCCCGTTGCCCCCATGTATCGGCCCTGATATCTCAGACACCCCATCATCCGGATCATCAAAAGGACTCCGTTCGATAAGATGCGCCTGAGAACCGAAACCGCCCACCCCCTCTCTCAGGCTACTTTGCCTAGAATTCGTTGTAAAGCTAGGCGGCCCGTTACTCCGCAAAGAATCCGTCGTAAAACTCGGCGGGCCCCCACCACTCCAACGTCCACTCGCCCTCTCCGAGACAAAACTCGGCGGCGGCAAACTACAAGGTCGATACGGCGGCGGCGGCTCACTCAAACTACTATTGTCGCCGAAGGGATCTTCAATCGGTCTGAGCGTGTTGGAAGACACAGAGACCATATCTGAGGTATCCATGCCGGTAAGGTAGGCGCCGTTGGAGTTGGAATGGGAGATGGGGCCGAGGATGATGGGGTGGAAGGCGCTGGGTGTGGATGTTGGGGGGAGGAGGTGGGAATTACGTTGGTGTTGTGATATAGAGGGGATTGGTGGGAGGATTGGGGGTTGCGATGGAGGAGGGTTTGAAGGTGGTGCGATGTACGGGTGCACGTGTTCGTTCCCATGGTGTTGTTGTGATGTCTGTGATGGAGTCGTCATTTTCATCTCTTGGACTTCGCGCTCAGTCGCAAGGGCAGCGGCGCGTCGTCTCTTTCGTTTGCGCACGCAGAGGAAGGTCACGCTGGCCATGATTGCAAGGACAACAATGGGGATGATGGCTGCGGCGGCGTAGATGGGCGTGTTGTTTGTGTGTTTCTCAGGTAGAGGTAAAGTTGCGCCAGGGATGATGTTTGTTGGGGTAGGTGGTCCGAAGGGATCGGGCGAGAATGTTGAGATAGACGTTGTCCATGATGAGGTTGTGGGCAGGTGGTCGGCATATGGTGTTGTTGCAGAAGCGGAAGTTTGCCAGTCTTGAGACGACGGGGTGGGTCCGTATAGAGGAGGCCAGGGACGATCCGTCGGATACCCAGGTGGCCTTTTGCTTGGTAGAGCAGGTTTCGGAGGCGGCGAGGGTTGGCTGAAGAGTTCGGAGTTCCATGCACTGTTCGTTACTGAGAACTGGGTGATCGACGGCATCGCAGTGTACGATGTTGGTTCAACCGATGGGACAGCAGTTGGGATAACGACTGGAACCAGAGAAACCGTTATCTCATCATCGCTTTCAGTTTCCGTGGGCCAGGGCGGCCCTCTGTCATCTTCATCTTCGTCCCATTCCTCTTTCCTAGGCGGAGCCATTGCGGCTGGACGAACCGCTGACGCGAGCAACTAGCTGTGTATGGATGAGCCGCAGTGGTGTGTTGGGACGACACCAGTAAGGAGACAGGAATCAGACGGAGATGCCTGACACCTAGATATGACCGAGGCGGGGAGCTGGAATGTGGTGGTGGTGATGCTCCACTTTCTGACCAGTGATGGGAGATGCGGGGCCGAGAACGGGTTTTGGGCGTGACCTTCCAAGGCTGGTAGTCCAATCGATGACGCGAAAACGGCACACTATGTATCCTTAGGCAGCGAGTCGTTTATCTGCTGGACTCCTAGGCTGGAAGGATTGACTGGCGTCTTGTTGGTCTTGAAAGGCGATGCAAAGTGGACACGGAGAGGGGAGGGCAATCCTTTGAGAAGTGGCCGCCCGGCTGGGGTGGCGCAGACATGTTACCCGTTGTCTGGCAACATGTGTGCGATGCAAGCTGTCAAGCCAACAGAATCAAAGTCCGAAGGGCCGGCTGCAAAGAGTCGGCGCGGTTGGCTACATGCTGGGATGCTGGGGAGAGACGGACTCAGCCTCGACGCCTATAAGACGAACAAACCCCACCTGCTCGGGAGGGGGTAAATTTAGCCTGGCTAATGTCTAGCCGTCGATCTAACAAAGCTTAGTATGATGTAATCGTATTTGCGTGCTGAGCACAGTTTGACAGCGTTTGTTCGTTAAATTGCCTGGAATGCTGCTTTCATACTCATGGTGTCTTCGTTGTGGTGACGGGAGATCGAACAAACAAACGCAAGGATACTCCGGCACATCCGACTGAGCTGTTATGCAGATCCTCTGGAGTACCCGTATCGCGGTGGGTGATTGGATGGGAGTAGGGCCGGGACGATAGAGCTGACTGTGACAGGCTATAGCTGCAGTTGTTCGTCCTGGATGTTGCAAGTGGGTACCGTTGAGGCATGGTATCGCGACAAAATCCCCTCAGCTGCAGCTAGCAAACGTGAAACACGGAACTAAGCCATGCATTGCAGCTGCAGTGCGGGAGGTTCTCAAGTCCGGGTGTTGTGAGTCTCCGCTGAGCACGTGTGGCGCCTGCTGACGGGCGGCCTTGAATCTTTCTACACGACAAAGACATGGAGCGTTCCCACGCAGACTCCGCATTCACAGCACCGCAATGCGGCATTCAATGTCCCGATGGGACTCTGCTGCAGAGTGTCAGCCAGTTGCCAGGGCATTAGTCCGACCGACGTACCGGCTTGAGCTGACATGTGCTAAAGGCCCGCTTGGCTGATGATCTCATCGGCCCGCACGCGTCGGTTCCGCTATCCGCTGGCATTCACGACGCCAACGCTTAACCCCAGACTCCTCCGCTAACTCGGACATGGACAAATTCAAGAGCGTCGCCAAAGGAGGCTGGCATCCTGAGAAGAGTCGCACTAACAGTGGGAGCGGTGGAGGTGGAGCGAGCGACTCGAAGCTTACACAGGTAGTATGTAAGCTACCTTCCTCCTTATCGGCTGTGGATTAACGGTGTGCAGAAAGGATGGGTTGGGAAGGCACAGGGTAAAGACGCCCATGCAGAAGCCGCCCGCGATCACCAGTCAGCACCACTGTCATCCCTGAAAGACCCCTCGCAGTTTGCGCCGCCGCCCAAGAGACTCGACTACAGCGGCGGTTCGGCAGCATCTGCACCATCCGGACCGTCGTCTGCGCCTGCTGGGTCGGCAAAGCAAAGACTGCAGGAGCGAGAAGAGGCTCGCAGGAGGGAGGAGGAAGAAGCAAACAGACCAGCCCCAGGGCCATACCGACCCGACACGACAGGGTTGAGCACAGCGCATCTGCCCAAGCCTCCTGCGTTCAGACCTGGCGCTGCGACACCACCGACTACAGGTGCCGCCAAACCAAAGCCCAGCCTGCCCCCACGGCCTCCACTACCACCGCGCCAGAACTCGAACCCCGATGAATTCGCACCGGCTCCTCCACCTACCTATAATGAGGCGACCCAAGAGGCAAGACCTGAGCAGGGAGTGCTGAACCAAGGTGCTCTGGGTCGCCTGGGTCAAGCAGGTGTCTCGGTGTCGGGCTTTGGTATCGGACGGACAGCTTCTCCTCCAGTACCGCCTCGCGCAAACCCATCACCGCCCGTCCCACCGCGACAGAACTCAAGCTCGAGGGCTGTCCTACCACCTCCCGCCCCGCCTAGTCGCGGCTCACAAATGAACGAGCTGCAGAGTAGGTTCGCAAGTATGTCTGGACCGAAATCACCAGCAGCTCCCCCAGCCACTGGCACGTCGTGGGCAGACAAGCAGGCAGCACTGCGGACCGCCAGCAGTCTACGCGATGACCCATCCAAGGTATCAGCTTCAGACTTGAAAGGAGCTGCATCGACTGCCAACAACTTCCAGCAGCGGCATGGAGATCAGGTCGCGTCTGGGTGGAAGTCGGCCAACTCCATAAACCAAAAGTACGGCATTGCTGGCAAGATGAACAACCTCGCATCGTCGAGTGCATCCCCAGGCCCAGCGCAGTCGTCGTCGCAAAGTAGTGCGGGAGGCCTAGGAAAAAAGGCACCGCCTCCGCCACCGCCCAAGAAGAAGGAATTGAGCGACGGCTCGGGTGAACCACCGCCGATTCCTCTGAGCAGCAAGCCGAAGTTTTGAGTCTCTACCTATAGTCTACCAATAATCCAGAGATACCAGCAATCAAGTTGATTGATCGAGATAGCAATATTACCAGTGTACATCCTGCTAAACCTGTTCCCCAGATGTGGCTGCGGCACGTCACCCTGCCTCTTCCCAGTTACGGCGTCGGTGGCTTTTGCTCCCAGATTTGCGCTTAGCCGGACCCTCAACAGGTTCACAGCATCCTTGCAGAAATTTTGCAGCATGCATCTCTACAATCGCACAACGCAAGATGACGACCGCCTTTTCGTGGACAAGACGGGATGTATACTCGTGTTACCCCATGGCGTTAGACTTGCGAGCAGATGTAAATTCTAGATAAACTTCAAGAGGGTCTTGTCGAGGCGGGTGTCCAGTGGGAGGTGGTGATTATTCGCCTCGGTAGCTGGTCGCGACGCCATTGGCCCGTCACGCTCAGCATAACCAAGAGGGACGTCCAGAAGCCTTTGCCTGCTGCTTCTAGCTCCTTGTCCGACGCACCGTTACTGCATGCGTCCTCGCTCCGGGCATATCTGTGCACTTAATTCTACGATATAACCTGTGCGCCTTGCCCTGGGTTCGTGCGTGTACCCCGAGCAATACACCTAGTACACGTAGGTGGTATCGCGTGCGTAGCGAGAAACGAATAACAACACCACCACCTCTATCGCAGCTTTGCGCCGACGATAGGCACGCCCAGAGCTCCGAGGGCCGATTCCCGCGATAAAGTTTAGCACAACCGTTGGGCATTGACCTCATCGGACCACAGAAAAACCCCAGCGGCCCCCAGACCCTCTGCCTCTGCCGCACCCTGTTTGCGCCTGCCTGGCCAACACCTTCACCTCACCCACCACTCGCCCATTGAGCGCTGCCACCACCTGCCCCTCCACCCGCGCATCGTCCCCCGCCGCCACGCCCACCATGTCCGGCGCAGGCCCTTCCCTACACCCCGGCGACTGGCCGTCGAGGGCTGTCCTCCAGTTCCCTCCCGATGCCGCGCCCTCGCCCATTCCGCCGCCATGGTCGGGCGAGTCGACTTTCCAGAATCCCTTCCCCATCCCCGAAGACATCTACCAGGGCGCGCTGTCGTACAAGGTCCCGCTGACCATCGCCTCCGTCTACTTCGTCGCCGTGACGTACGTCAACTGGTACAACCGCCAGCACGGTAACAAGCCGTGGAGGATCGCCAAAACCCGCCCCTTCCACGCCTTTGTCATCTTCCACAATGTCTTCCTCGCCGTCTACTCGGCCGTGACGTGCGTGGCCATGATCCGCTGCCTCAAGCACTCGTTCCCCCACTACAGCGAGCCCAACGCCGTTGTCGGCACCATCGACGCCCTCTGCAAGATCCACGGCCCCCGCGGCCTGGGCGACGCCGTCACCTACAGCAACGTCAACGACAGCTGGAGCAGCCTCAACTCCAAGGTTCAGATCGGCCCCAACGGCCTGCCCGACACCACCGACGTTGGCAGGATCTGGAACGAGGGTCTCGCTTTCTGGGGCTGGTGGTTCTACCTCTCCAAGTTCTACGAGGTCCTTGACACGGCCATTATTCTCGCAAAGGGCAAGCGCAGCACGACTCTCCAGAAGTACCACCATGCCGGCGCTATGTTGTCCATGTGGGCTGGTATGCGCTTCATGTCGCCTCCTATCTGGATGTTTGCCACGGTCAACTCTGGAATCCACGCCATGATGGTAAGCAGCTTTTTTAAAACACACAGAAAACCCTCACTAACATCGTTTAGTACACCTACTACACCGTCTCCGCGCTCGGCTACCGCGTCCCCAACATCGTCAAGCGAACTCTTACCACCCTCCAAATCACCCAGTTCCTCGTCGGATCCGCCTTCGCCGCTATCCACCTCTTCATCTCCTACACCGTCCCTGTTTCGGTCGCATACAAGGTTGCTGAGAAGGTCGCTCCCAAGGTAGTCTCGTCGAGCGTCTCATCCGCAGTTGCATCCGCTACTGAGTCGGTTGCCGAAGCTCTCCCCACCGTGACTGGTGTTGCTGTGGCCTTCCTGAGGAAGCTCATCTACCGCGCCGCTGGCGATGAAGGTCTCGCAGAGAACATCCCCGTCCCTGGCCAGCCCATCCCCGTCCGCCAGCCCCAGCAAGTCATTGCCGGAGAGCCTGCCCCCACCCACAACGCAGTCCACGACTTCTTCCACCCCCACGAGACAGTCGAGAGGACCTTCTACCGCACCGAGTACCAGACCGTTCCCTGCGTCGACACGTCCGGCCAAGCCTTTGCCATCTACGTCAACCTGATCTACCTCGCCCCGCTCACCATCCTCTTCATGCGCTTCTTCTTCAAGTCGTACCTCCGCCGCTCCACCCCCAACTCCAAGCAGAACTTCAAGCACCGCACCATCTCCGACGCCGCCGGCGACGCCAGCCGCAACGTAGAGCGCGAACTCGACTCTCTCGACAAATCCGCCGAAGACGCCATCTCCTCAGGCGTGAACCGCGCTAGAGACGCCGTCCGCGGAAGGAAGCCCGCAAACGGCCACATCAAAGACGAGCGCAAGGGCAGCATGTCCCCCGCCAACCAAAAGTTCCTCGAAAATGTAAACCGCCGCGTGAGCCAGAAACTGCAAGAACTTGACGAGGGCGCCGATGCGACCAGCAAGAAGGCCAGGCAGATTGCTAAGGAGCTTGTTGGTAAGGCTGAGGCTGCTGGCGAGAAGGTCGAGCAGGCGTACGAGGACAACGAGGAGGATGTCAAGGAGAAGGAGAAGGAGAATGCGAATGGTAACAAGGAGAAGATGGATCGCAATCGCAGTCCGAGCAAGTTGCCGCGTAAGCAGCAAAACAAGAAGAATGGCCCGAGTGACGAGCAGGTCGCTAAGCCGGAGAAGGAGGCTGAGCCTAAGGATTTGAAGAATACACTTGGGGAGAAGGACGGTAAGGGTTTTTTCTAAATGAAGCAGAAATGTTTCATCTAGGTGGCCCAGTGCACCAAAGCCACAAAAGGCTCAGTCCTGTGTAAAAGCAGCTAGCCGACTTCGGTCTTCACGCTGTCTCCTCCTGCCCCCTAGGGCTGGAAAGCAAATTTTTCCTAGGCCCTCTCTGTTATAGATCGCGAGATATCCGGTCACATATGTATCTGTATCTTGCTTTTTGAGGGAACTGATGTCACCGAACCGGACATTTATACACAACTAAAAGCTGGGAGGAAAGGTATATCCAAATGTACGAGAGACGATGGAAATGGAAGGGAAAGGATAGGCATGGAATGGAAGGGATGGCGTAGGCTATGGAATCTAAATTCATTTATTTCTTCACAACCTCATGCTCTGATGGTGCTCATGCCCAAGTAAGGCTTATCAATGCGCATTGCCTTGTTGCCGCTCATTCCAGCTTTCAAGCTTGTGGTCTGAGAAAGCTTGCTGACCGACTTGAACGTCTCCGGCCTCTTGTCCACTCGTTCCACGACACGCCCATATCATCACACCTTCGCAGCAACGACATCCACCCGCCTACGAAGGATCTAGAGAGGGAAGGCACAGCTATGAGATTAACATTTTATCTATTTCTTTGATGCACTTCATGATTGGTATTTTGACGTTGTTCCCTTCCGAGTAAAGATTGTAAAGGTATTAAAGGCTGTGACACGTTTTCCACACCAAACTGCTCCACCCGCTCTTCAAACTTTCCAAGCTATTGTTTGGAGGGACCAACAGACTGACTGGCGAAACTACTCGCTCGTTCGTTCAACGACACATGAATGTTATCTAATACTCGGGTGGGTGGGGGAGGCGGAGGGGAGGCGGAGGGGAGGAGGTGGAAATCATCTTGCCCTCAAGTTGTACAATTATTCTGGCTTTCTAACTAGGCTTTGTTACTTTATCAGCGAATACTTCCCTCTCCCATCCCTCCTCCACCACTACGCATACTCATCCCCAAAACCCCCCCGCCCAGTTCCAAAACCTCCTCCCTCCTCTTCCTCTCCTTCTTCTCCCTCTTGACCATCTCTTGTAACCCAGCGCCTTCAATCCTCGCCGTCACGCCCTTGTGTCCCTGCCCACCACCACCACTTCCCTTAAACCCGTCTTCGTCGTTGCGAGCAAAGATTTGTAAGCCGCGCAAATGCGTATCCTTTCCATTCTGATGGTTCTCCAATATCTTGATCTGCACGAGATGGGCGCGTAGCACTGGTAGCCGTGGGGTTGAGAAAGTATTGGAGGGAGCGGGGCGGGGAGCGGGGTTGGGTGAGAGAGATGCAAAGGGAGCGCGAGGGTGAGAGCGCGGGTAGGTTTGCGGTTGTGTTTGAGGAGGGATAGGCGTTGATGGTGGATGGTTTTGGGTTGGTGTGACGGTGGGGTTTGGGTGGAGGTTTGCGCGGCGGGTGCGGGTGCGGGTGCCTGGTGGAGGGGGTTGTGACTGTTGGGTGGGTTGGGGGGTGTCGTATGAAGGATACGGAGGTAGAGGCGTATCTTGCTGTCCTGGTGTTTGCATGTCCAGATCCCCGCCCTGGCCCGGCGCCGCGTTTTCGGAATCAGAAGATGCGTCGTTGCCTCTCCTCCCGCCGTTCAAGTGTAAGGCGTCTGTGAGGAGACGTTGTGGCCGTTCGCCTGTGTTCCGTCCTTCTCCGCCGTCACCCTCATCGTCATCGCCCTCATCATCACTATCCGGATCTCCTACCCCCGAGAAATCAGCCCAGATCCATCCCCTCGGACTCTCTAATCGCATCTCGCCCCATTCCTGGAGGTCGTTGAGCCCGCTGCCAGCGAGGAAGATTATCTTGGTGGGCGTGTAACTCTCATCTTGTTCAAAGTCGAGATACAGTCTCAATCCCACAATACGGACGAGTTTGAAGAAGTGGATGTTGAGATAATGAGGCTGTGGTCCATCGGATTGCCAGAAGAGGTTCGTATTCGGATGCCGCAGTTGGGGAATTGAACAGCCTGGTTTAGAAGAAGAGACGGTCCAGGATGCTAGGGTGGAGATTTCGCGGAGGTAAGGGGGTGGGGGATCGAGGTTGGGTAGACTATCCGAGGGAAGATTTGGGGATGCGAGACCATCTTCTGAACCGAGTTCTTCGTCGCCTTCGTCGTCTTCTTCTTGGTCTTCTTCATCGCCTTCGAGGCCGATTAGGTCGTCGCCAAGGGTTTCGTCGTCGTCGGCAGCGTCGAGATCCTGCTCTACTTCTTCGACATCTTGGCGACCATCTAGCTCTGCGTCGCTGGACGTGTCTTGGGCTTCTGGTGGTGAGGGCGGGGGCATGCGATGTTGGTGTGCTTGGCCTCCTCGTCGGCGAAGTGAAGGCGGCATGCTGATCTTCGCTTCCTCAAGTGCTGTAAAGGGACGCTAGATTGACGTCACGGGGTGCAGGATGCAAGCTTCGGGGGAGCGTGACTAGGGCCCGTGGCGACAGCAAGCAGGGGTGAAGCGTTGTCTGAAAAGGGTCTGGAGTGTGCTGTATGGCTGCCCTGACCGGACACCTCAGGCAGCTTCCGTGCAAACCTTCGTTCGCAAGTCGCGACTACTCCCGCACCTATCGTCTGTCTAGGCTCGCCTCGGTCCACGGGTATCTGGTATTTGGGACTTTGGCGTCCCTGGCTAAGGCGAATGTGGCAGACCGTGCGGAAAAGTGTTGATCACTCACGTGCATGCGAGCCAGGTACCCAACCGGACGCGAACAGTGCGAACCCAACTTCAGTGTCGATATATTGATGTAGGGGCGATATTCTCCGGTGTCCAGGCCTGTCTTTGGTGGCCGATGTGGTTTCTTTTTCTGCCGTTTGCTTCGTGCTGCTTTCTCCGCCAGGGTCATGTTTGCTTGTTTGCGATGGAAGCAGGACTGGAACTGGAAATCTGAAGGTCCAAGCGTCGGGGAGATCACCAATCCCGAGGTCCCTCTCCCTTTCAGACCCACCCTGTGCCTGACACTACCCTCAACGCCCCCCCACCGACTCCCCCGCACGCATACTGTATGTTTCGCGTCCGCTTATAATCGTCTGTCTGCATACTTGCCATGCCTACACTCCTAATCCAGTGTCGGAGCAGACCCCGTAGAGCCCAACATGGGGCGGCAACGCTAGGCAGCGTCCCCGCAGCGCCGCCGTCTACACTACGAGTAACGATAGCTCAAGGTTCGGATTCGCCTCAGCCGTCAGATTAGAGTTTTGGATGCAGCTCCAGAGCTCCTCACAGGATGGAGAAGGCCGCTGGTGGGCAATAGTCTACTGGGAACTTGATAGACTGGCTGGGCCGCTGTGCATGCTACTACAAGCCATAGTCGACCAAACTCGACTCAACACAATGATGCAGGATACTAAACCGGTTCTTCCCTCAGATGCAGGTCCCACCGTTTCTTGTTGTATCTTTCTCATGAACGACCATACGTTGCTCTCTTCGAGCAATACGCTACTCTCGTTTGATACCACTGCGCAACGTTGCTTTCAGTCAGCTTGACACTTGGTCGTGCTCTCGACATCGACACCATGACGCACAGCTCAGCCGACCTGGCGATGGCCGCCGAACAGCAACAACGGATTACCATTGCCTTCCTGGTTGTATCCTGGATCTTCATCCTACTCAGGATATGGACTCGCACATGTATTATCCGTAGTTTTGGCTGGGATGATGCGGTCATGCTACTTGCCGGTGTAGGTTTTTGTCACCACTGCCAAGTGATCATTAACTAACATTAGCAGTTGACGTTCACTTTGTTCTGCGGATCAGTTTGGTTGGTTGAAGCATCTGGTGGAACCAGCGAGATCACCAGCGCGGACGAGTTGCAGAAGGTGACAAAAGTAAGTCTTCTGATCCTGTCCTTGCGAACCATACTAACCATTGCAGTGGGTTATTGTGAGAGAGACCGGCTATCTCATGGCAATCATGCTGGTCAAGATTTCTCTAGCCATCTTCTTCTCCCGCATCGTCGTCAGGCGCAGTCACTTCATCATCATCTACGTGACCGTCGCTGCCAACATTGTGTCATCGATGTCTGCATTCTTCTACGTCATCTTCCGATGCGGACCCAACTTGGAGAAGTACGCAGTCAACGAGATCATCGGTCGCTGCCAATCTCGGCAGGTCGACTATTTCTTTGCCTATCAACAAGGTATGTGGCGCGAATGAATTATTTACACACAAGCTTACGAAGTACTCCACAGCGACCTTTAGTACATTGACAGACGTCGTCTTCTTCTTATTACCCATCCCCATTTTATGGTACGCCAACATGGATCTGCGGCACAAATTCTCCGTCGGCTTTATCCTATCCCTCGCAGCTCTGTACGTCTCGACTAAAGCCACTCTCAAACCGCTCTACTAACATATCACAGTGGCTGCATCTGCTCTGGAATCCGCTTCCCTTACATAACCGGTCTAACAGAACTCGAAGACTTCTTCTGGGACGTGACCAACGTGTCCATATGGAGTACCGTCGAATGCGGCACATGCATCATCGTCGGCTGCATGGCAACCCTCCGCCCACTCATGAAAATGGGAATCTCAAGAGCACGCGACATGACCACCAGGGACGGAAGCAGGAGCGGCACAATGAAGAGCACGCGAGCATCTCCACGAACAACGAACCACTCCCTGTCTCAACTCAACTTGCATGCAACGCCGCAGAACAACCTCCTACTCGCGGAGCTGGGCATACAATACTCCGGCATCGAAAAGAAGGCTTCTTCATCACCAAAACTGGAATCGATGTACGAAGCAAAGACTATAACGCGCCCAAACACCGCGGCAACACCCCTCCCGTCAGACATGGGCTACACGAAACGCAGCAGCGCTGACCCTATCCTCGCTCGCACCTCGTCCGACGCAACAGACCTCCCTTTATGGAAGGCGCCGGAGGAGAAGAAACCACGCCAACCATCACGCCTCAGCCTCAGTCGCGCGCTACTGCACCGCAGCCGGCCCACGAGCGAAGACATCAACTATGGCAATCCACTTTCACATCCTGTTTCGCCGCCGAGCCATATGGATGCGGGGGATGCGGTTTGAGAATCTCGAAACCGAACGCGAACTGAACATTTGTACATATATGCACACAGACACGACCGTAACGACGCTACGCCCCAGCTTTTCCTTTTTTTCACGGACAGACAAAATTCATCGATCGGTAGATGACGATCAGAAAACCATAGTTTGATACCCCAATGTATTTCTAGTCAACGAGATAGTTACCTAATTACGACACCTGTCAAGACAGTACTTGGATCCACGTCTAGGCTGGAAAGAATGTGATGAATTCTGACATGAGCGGCCCGCCACCCGGTTCTTCAACGCTAACGCTACTTGTTAGTTGGAAGTAGTGAATCCTGTACTACGGGTAAACACGGCGGAAGAAGGTTTTCCGTCGTACCAGTACCAGTTACAAGGAAAAGGGGATGAGACTATTGACATGGCATGGCATGCCTTGCAGCATGGTACGATGGCGTCGTGAAGTACGGGGTAGTGCTTCTCAAAGGGAAGACTCGACATTCCATGGCATTTCCAAAGTGAGAATGTCCGGAGAGGAGATATTCACTACCACACCATTTGCTACATGGATGCTCATATCTTGTTGGATCAACGATGGTATAAGCACGGTTTCTGTTCGTACGTCGTTCCAATACAGAATGTTCAACCATGTTATTTTCCCTTGCCTATCTTTTATACATGCAATCATGACTCCCACGTCCATCGCTATCCCTTTCCTCACCACCTACCTCCCACCCATAAACTCCGGCTTAAACGCCTTAACACCCCCCGCCTTCATCAGCTCCCTCAACGCCATAGTAGCATACTGGCTACTCGCCAACTGCAACTTGATCACCACAGCAATCTTTTCCTCTCCCGCCTCTTCCTTCTCCTCTCCGTCCTCCATCTGCGCGTCTGCAATCTCTCCCTCCTTCCCATCCTCTTTACCCCCATCTTTCTTTCCAACATCTCTCTCGCGGCCCAGGCTTTGCAAGTCTGTTTGAACAAACTGCTCATCCACCTTCCTATAACTATGAACCTTGAACTCAAGCGGTTGAAGTGGCCGGGCTAGGAACTTTCTGTAACCCCCGCTTAGACTGACTTCCCTCCAACTCCTCCGCATGTTATACGGATCCAACCCCCCACCCTTCTCACTCCCCATAAAAGTCTTGTAGTACTCCCCAATCTCATTTCTAGGGTACTCGACATCGAAGCCCGGTTGCGGCAGCACAACGTCCCAGATACTATACTCCCCACTGGCCGCTTCCTCAGCAGTAAGCGGACGCGCGCGTTCGAAATCCGCGTCGGGAGCAAGGGAAGAGTCGTCGCCGGAGGGATCGATGATGGGTTCGCCGTCTTGGTCGTGTGTTGCTTTTGGTATTGAGGCTGTACTGCCTTGTTCTTTGTCGCGGTGTTCGTTTACGAGGACGAGGTCGCCTGCGACGACCTTATCGCCGTGGGTAGCCCAGCGTTTGCCTGCTACGCTGTTCCAGACGAGGGATTGGTAGGCGTGGACGTACATTAAACGCAGTGTACGCGGGATTGTCATGAGTGCGCCTTGCCAGTCTGATTTGCGGTCGTAGCGGCCTGATTTACTATTGCGCGAACTTAGATGCTGGATTATGTTTCGTTCTGCGGTGAATTTGCGGGGCAGGAAGTCGAGGGCTTCGGTGCCGGAGCCTTTGGTTTTCCAGATGTGCAGGGCGTGGGCGCGGTTGCGGTCGTCTTGAGAGACTAGAGTTGTGGACTCGGACGGGTTTAGGGCAGAGGCGAGGGCGGTGTCGCTGTATGCGAGGAGGTCTTCTACTGCGCCTTTGAGGTCGTCTTGTAGCATCTTGCGGCCGATGGCGTCGGTGCTGGCGGCGAAGGAGCCGAAGCGTTGGAGACCGTAGTAGTTGATGAAGCCTTTTTGGGAGAAGTCGGTGATGGCTTTGCTGACTACATCGTGGGCCAATTTACTTCGCTGAGCAAAGTCTAGTCCTTCCTCGCTTTGGAAATGGCAGTCGCGGAGGGTGATGGTGAACTCGTTGCCCATCAGGTCTCCTAGCTTTAGGTCGTTGTGGCGGTATTCAAAGTCTCCTACGGCGGCATTGAACAGGATCTTGTTGAAGTTCTGGATGCGCTGGGCTAATTGGCGCTTGACGCAGACTCTTTGGACGGTGCATGCTCGTCTGTCTTTTGTGCCTGCGAAGCCGAAGCCCTTGGCGCCGCAGTTGAGCTTGCTCCCTAGGAACCCTACAACTTCCATTGTATCCTTGTTCTCCTTGTACAGGTTGAAGTGCAGGTATTCACCACCAAGCTCCTCCCAATCTTGACCTCCGCGTCGGCCTCCCTGGTTCTCGCGATCCTTTGCGCCGCCCTTGCCCTTCTTCTTTTTGCGCTCTGCTGGTGGAGTGGCCTTGATGCGTATAGTCTGGTTCTCCTCCATCGCGCTCTCGAGGAGGTTGGGAAAGATCCGACGTAGACTCTGGTGCGCTTGGGTACGCTTGTCTTTGTCGGTTATGGGCGATGATATGACGGCTTTGAAGTCTTTTGCCTTTCGCGATTCCTTTCTCCGTACTTGTCTGACAAGTTTTACGATCTCGTCGGTAGTCTGTTCGCCGAATATCGAGTGGAGAATATTGCGATCTTCTTCCGGCAACTGTACGTGTTAGCATTTGCGCAATATATATGCGTATAGACCACCCACCTGTTCTTCAGGCTCTTCCTGAGCTACCGGCGGTTTCCCAATAATCTCCTCCCCACCATTCTCCTCCTCCTTCGGCGCATCTTCCACCTTTACCGGCTCGGGCACCGCAAGCGTAGTCTCACCAACAACACCCGCATCCTGCATAACAGCATCGACCGTCTCCTCAGTCGCTGCCGTACTCTCAGGCTTCTTTCCACCTGCACCATTTGTATTTTCAACATCCTCCTTCCCAGCCTTCTTCTTATCCACTACCTCCGTGCTCTTCAAATGCAGCACCTGCCCATCCAACCCAATCTCATTGACCAAAAAATCCGTATACCTCTGCTTCAGCACCCCCGTAAAACCCAGGTTATCCGGGCAGACATATTCGGTTATACCGGCGCGTACTTCGCGCTCCAGATCCGTGTCAATGGTTGCTGGTGCCGAGAGAATCGAGGCCGTGGGAATCGGAGCTGTGTTCGGAGCTGATGTCGAGGTAGTGGAGAGCGAGGGAGCGGCATTATCGTCGAGGCGCGCGCGTTTCGCCGGTCGCGTGGATTCGTCCGACGGGTCAGACATGTTTGCGCACGTGAGAGATGTGGTGGGGTGGTTGTGTGGTAAAAGGTAGGTTTTGTAGAGAAGTGAGCTGCGAGATTCTAAGCGGGGAAGTTTTTCCCGAGGACGTGCGCGCGGGGAGGTGAGTTTTGGCGAGGGCCTCATATGTTTACATGAACACTGTCTACATAATCTCACCTTGCCAGAACCTGTAATGAGGTGGTTCAGACTACCAAAAAGACATCACAGACAAAATGTTCAAGCATTAATAATATCATAGGATATTGAATTCATCATCTTATCAACTCGACTCAAAAGAAAAAGGATCCGGCCCAAACTCCTCCATCCTGCCCAGGGGTATAAATAATGCTTCTCGACTTCATACAGCGTATCTTTCAAGCGAGTGTGACATTCCGCCTCTTACATGGGACAAAGACAGAACAATAAAATATACATGTTCGTTAAAAAAAAAACAAGGTCCCCAAAGGGAAAAGAAGTGAAGAAGATCGTCTAAGTCAATGGAACATCCATCAAGGATATCCACGTAGTGTTGTCGCAGAGTGAGGAAGAGGCGTCTATCCCGAAGCGAAGATAGCAAGAGTAGCGCAGAAGTTGGAGCGGTTATCCTCGTCCTTGGCTAGACCCTGACCACCCATGGTGATCATGTTGACAGAAGCCTTGGTGCTGAGACCGAACCAGTTGACGTTTGTTGAGTTGGCAATCTCGTTCATGTCTTGCTGGCAGTTCTGGCCGACGACGCAGTCTTGGTCGTAGTTCTGGAAGAACGAGTAGGTACCCGCGCCGTAGCTCCAGATGCTGTCGCTGCCGTCGGTGACACGGACGGCCCAGGCGGACTTGGCTTGGCTCATGTCTGGGTCGAAGTACTTGTCGTTCTTGGTGAAGGGGACGGCCGCGGTGGGGTTGGGCTGGTAGTAGGGTGTCTCGGTTTGGATGGCTCCGTAGAAGATGTCCTTGGCGCCGGAGAACTGGTATTGAGACATTTGAGAGTGCTCAGAGGCGGTGCCGTACATCCAGACGGGGCCTTGGGATTCGACGAGCATGCCGCGGCCGTTGTAGATGTCAATCTGGGAGTGGTCGTCTTGGTCGAGCTCGTGGTCGGCGGTCCAGAGCCAGACGTTCTCGAAGTAGCCGTTGGAGTTCTTGGTGATGTGGAGTTGCATGAAGGAGCCAATGCACTCTGGGTTGGGCTCGTGGGTCGCGTCGGGGTTCTTCTTGCAGTTGGACGACTGGAGCTTGGTTCCGGCGTAGCCACCGACACGGAAGTGGACGTCCCAAAGACCGGCGGCACCGTTCTCAGCGTTGATGTTCCACTCCATCAAGATACCACCGGGAGCAGGGCCCTGGGTACCGATGATGAGGTCAGAGGCCTCGAAAGAACCCTTGTCGCCGCTCTTAGCACCAATCTGGAAACCAGGCTTGGGGTCGTCCATGTTGGAGAAGAACTCGCCGGTGATGAAGAAAGTGCTGTAGACTTCACCGACCATCTTGATGTTCTTCTCAGCGGGGACGACGACGGTCTTGGTGATGAGGTAGGCACCGTGGTCGACGTGGAGAACCTCGCCTTCCTGGAGACCATCGATAGCGGCCTGGATAGCAGCAGTGTCATCGGTAGCACCGTCGCCCTTGGCACCCTTGGACTTGAGGCTGACGAACTTGGAGACGTCGACGTTCTCGTACTGGGGCTTGCTGCGCTCGAACCAGCCGTTGAGACCCTGGAGGCTCTGGGGCTTCGCGGGTGCGCCATTGACATCACCCTGAACACGGCCAAGTTGTGCGCCGGCAGCGAGAGCGTTACCCTGAGCCCAGGTCTCGACTTTCTTACCACCCGCAAGGATGGTGTTACCAGTAGCACCAATGACAGCCTTCTCGGAACCGGTGAAGTCGCAGTTGTCGAGGATGAGAGTGCCGCCAGTGGTGGGAATGCTGTTCTCGGTGAAAGACGAGTTGATACCGATGGGAGTGTTGGTGAACTTGCTGTCGAGCAGAAGAACAGAGCCGACAGTCTGGTTGGCGGGGCTGTTGGCCATGTCAAGACCGACCTGGCAGTTGTTGATGAAGATGCTCTTGTAGGTGAAGAGCCAGTTCCAGTTCTGGAAGATGGCAGTGCCGCAGTCATTGAAGGTCATGTTGCGGATGGTGAATTGCTGGGAACCCATGAAGGCACCAATGGCACCACCGTTGAAGGTCAGGTCGGTCATGAAACCACCGGAGCCGTTGTCCTGGAAGATACCCTTCTGGTCCTTGCCAGCGTCACCCTTGGCCATCTCGAAAACGATGTTCTGGAGACTGGTGGCTTGAGAGACCTGCCAGTGGATACCAGCGGCAGCCTTGGTAGCGGAGATGTCGATGACAAAGTTGCGGACCTGGCGGTAGAAGTTGTTCTGGTTGGTGTACCAGTTGGCGCCGTCGCCGCCTGGGATGTAGGGATCGGCATCGATCAGACCCATGCCCTCGAAGTCTGCGGTAGCCTTGAGGATGGGCATGTTCAATGGGTCGCCAACAAACTGGGTGTAGTAGTACTGAATGATGGGCTTGCTGATCATGTAGGTACCGGCGGGGAAGTAGATGAGTGCCGGTGTGGTAGTGGTCGAGTCGCAGCCCTCGCCGCATCGCTCGCCGTCAGCGATGATCTTGTTGATGATTTCGGTATCGTCGGTGGACCCGTCACCCTTGGCACCAAGCTCCTTGACATTGCGGAAGACCTTGTAGGACTCTGGGTTGGGGTTGAAGGGAGCCTGGCCCTGGCGCTTGATGGTCTCAAGCCAGTAGCCGGAAGCACCACCTGGTGCTGCCGGTGCTGGTGCTGCTGATGGAGCTGGTGCTGCTGATGGGGCTGGGACTGGTGCGTATGAAGCGGTAGGTGCTTGCGCAACGGGCACAGCAGTAGAGGGAGTGGCGGAAAGGAGGACGCGCAGCGTCAAAAGAAGCGCTCCAGCGCTAAAGGCAACCATAATGGCAGTGCGTTTGTTGAAGTTCGGAGTAGCTAGTTGGAAAAGTCTCGACTTGAAAGACTGGAAGTATCGTTGTCAGTTGACCGGCAAAGGACGTTGATAGTGTTGTTGGATCGTCGAGTAGAAAGATTGCAAGTTTGCAGAAGTGGTGGTAAGGTTGGCTAGCAACGAAGGAAGAAGAAAGTAGTAATGTTGTTGTGAGAAGATGACTCTACACAATAGAAATGAATGACAGAGAACAATAAGAACTGACGGCACACAATGAGTGCTGGTAGCTGACAATCGCCTGCGTGAAGGGAAAAAGTGAATGGGGGCGCCGCCGCATAGTATATGTACAGCGGTTCATTCAGGAAGGGGACTTACAATAGGATCGGGGCGCCAATCAACGTTGTCGAAACGCCTTGTTTCAAGTTTCGGGTAGCCGGGGTGTGATGTTCGCTGTGCTGTGCTCGATTCATGTTCCCCGGCATTGAGTAGGCATTTTATATCCTCGTCGTCGCTGTGATACCCAAGCTCTTTTGCCATCTCTTCATCGTGGGCGTTCATCCTCCCCGATTCACAAAGCAGTCCCTCTTCCTCCCTTGCCTCCTGACGACCGCTTGCGGCCATGTTCTGAAGCCGCATTCCACGCCCGCAGACAAGTGCCGGCTCGTGGTTGCGTGCCTGTGACCCTGCCGCCGTCGCGTGCGTCCAAAATTACCTAGGGTCTCCACTAGCCAGGCCCACAAGACTGTACCCGTTGTATCCCTTTCTCCGCGTGAAACAAGCGGGAGACGATGGCCAGTGAGTGGATGGGGAGGGTAGAAGGCGGCGAGGCGAGCGTTTGTTCCTGAAGGGAAATCAGGGATGTGGTTGGTAGCGCCACAACCGATGCCCGCATGTGAGACGGCGCTGAAACGCCAGGTCATCGACAGGCCCTCGCTCGCCCGCCGCGCAGATAAAGCATTTGCCAGCGCGTCAACGCCACGCGCGACTTTCTCTGCAATTCGACGCGACGGCCCGGCAGGAGATCGTGGATACACTGCGATGCGCCGGGCTCCATCCAAGAGGCGCTTGAGAGTCATGCCAAGGTGTGGTGGACTGCATTGTACTCGACCACGACGTCGCTGTTCGCCTCGGCACGCGCATCTTAGACATGTTGGCTGGTGCCTCCACATGCCGATAATACACAGACATATAGCAAATAGTGTCATTCATGAGCGTTGTGCGCAACATAGCACGAGCCTTGCGGACAAAAAAGCTCGAACCGAACACCACTCCGATCGCTATCCTGGACGTGACAAGTTCCGAAAGTTTCTTTTGCACCAGTGCAAGACATCGACTATGGCGTTACCACGCTATGCTGTGCCCGATGACTGCCTGAGGGTGCATACCCAACGGTCACTGCGTTTCGCGCCGCCACTCGACACCGGGTATAATGCTTTTCATTTCGTTCAGGGTGTCGCTGTGGGGCGTGGTGGTGTTTCGACGAAACCGCGTCCGTCTATCCAGAGCGACCTTACAAGCATCAATCCATCTATTTTACTGTAGTAATTAGGCATTCACCAATCGAATAGACAGACAGCACTCACGGGAAGGCCATTCAGGGTCGAGCGCGAAAGACAGGAGTAGATCACGACGCGAGACATCCACCACCTCCCCTCCGCCTCCCCTCCGCCTCCCCCACCCACCCAAGCCTGGGGACGTTTCGACGCGATCCCGAACGCGCAGATCCCTCATGCTTAACGCAACCTCTATTACCGCATCTCGACGAATAGCGTTGTGCAAGACCAAAATCACATGATATGGTCCCTACAGTCGTGGAAGTTTCTGCATGATCTCTGTGTGATCTAGATTGTGGCTGATAGGATGCTCTTCACTTCGAGACAGCGATCTTCCATCCCATTCGCCATTCCTTCCCTCCGCTCAATCACCACAGACCCTTCGCGTCTTCTTCTTGAGCAGCCGCCCTCTTCGTTGCCTGTCCTCCATTGGCCTCTTCCTTTAACATGCGGCTAATGACCGTGGCGAGTCTCTCAATGCCCTCGGCAAGCATGTCTTCTTCTTCCCACT